TCGGTATTGGAGCTGATAAAGACGAAGCCACACGTCATGGACCCCCTTATTTACGATAGCCTTCGCATAGTGAATCAGTTGATCCCTCCAACCAATTGTCGCTGCACCGCCAGAGCGCTTGCAAAGTTTTACGCGGCATTAGGTGAAGGAAGAATAATCAGCAAGCCTCTTCTTGATGCTGCTCGTGTTGCGCACACTGTGGACCCCACTCTAGAAGCACTTCTGCTTACTGGGGGAGGCAGCAGAACATGGGGCTTGGGATACCAGCTCTATGAGTGTCTGTATCTGTCTCCGCCTGGCTGGGGTGGGATCCGGCTAGGTCAAGGCAGTCAAGCGGGGGCTACTTTACTGCACAGCCGCAAGCCGAGTACAGCTGAATATGTGTCTAGGCGAAGCAGGCGATCACGAGACAGCAATATTTTTGCTAGTTTCGGATCCAACGCTGGGCCTGTTTTTCAGAATGATGTGGAAGCACTTCTTCGCGACAGGGGCCTCTCCTCGTCGCATCCATGGGGAGCAACATTGGGCCTGAAGCCGCGTGGAGTGGTGGGCTTCGGTCACGGCGATGTTGGGGGCTCTGTAGCCCTTTGTTTCCCCGAAATGAACTTGTCAATCAGCATCCTACTTAACGATGTTCTGGCCGGACCGGAGGTGAGCGCCCTCACTTGAATTATAGCAGTTATCCTCAGTTTAACATGCTGGTTGCTTCGTGATGTGCGATGCCACGGCTCGTCGCTTTTATCATTACAGGGGCCTCAGTGGTCCTCACCAGTTTTGTTGTTACGAGGTTATCTAGCTTAGTGTTCTGGGTCTTCTTGTGCACTTCACAGGCCTCGCAGCTCATCTTGGATTTCCTGCTGATGTGCTTTGGCTTACAGCCAAAGTGGCAGACGCAAGTTAGCATTGACGAATTGTTGGAGAATTTAACACCGCCGCTTTCTCAGTCTTAAATGCACCACCAAATAACTTGGGGGGAAGCGTAACCTTCTGCAAATTGGTCAGGGACTCCACTTAAGGTTTCAATTGGCTGATGAGCGCAGGCCATAAGAGTGTTTGAGACTGACCTTCGAGTCAGGCGCCAGGGCGCTTCAGAGCAAGCATCGTAAGGTACCTCCGTAACAACGCTTTCTACAGAAACGTGTTTTGGCAAGCATATAACAGTCAAATCCTTGGTCTGTTGCGTTTCATTTCCTGGCCTAGTCTACGCACTTGTAGCTGGTACAGCTCCATTTTTACTGTCCAGGTGCAGTCAGCAAGACGGTGGCTTGAAATCCTTACTGGCGTACTGCGAAGCTCCTGAGGCACATTTGAGGTCGTATTTACTTATTGTAGACACAGTCCAGTGTCGCCAGCTACCACAGTTTCGCGAAGAAAATCACTCAAGGATTCAGCTAGGAGTCTAGTCAAATTTCGAAAAAAGTGCCTTAGGCAGTGCTTTATTGACACCTTGTAATAGCCAGCAGAAATTAACTGATTGCAGCAAAAATGTGTGCACGCCATACCACTGCAAAGTGACCTCTCTTCTCAACTACTGGGAGAGCAGGGAGGAGGGCAAGTCAGACAGCAGCACAGTGAGTGTCGTTTCCTCGTTCATGCCTAGATGGCTGTGTCATACAGCAATGCTTGCAAATTCTTAAGCGAGCAACTATCTAACACAAGGCGAGTCACAGCAGCTTCAGACTCGACAGAAGCATGGAGCACCAAGTGAGCGTTTTTGAATCACCTGCAGGAAAGGCATGGGCGAGAGCATTTTCACCAATCCGGGAGAGGAGCCATAATTAAGAAACTATGGCTTCTTTTCCGGATTGATGAAAACTCTCTTCGTTGGATGAGCGATTGGCGCTAAATGACGAAGCTTGCATGTATCCGGTTCCTGGACCGGTAGATCATCATTCTGTATATGCACTGTACAAGAAGGAGGCTTCAAGCGAGTCGCATGATGGACGTACCAAACCTTGGAGTTATGCTTCAATCCGCGCTGCATCACTGCACAGGCGGCTCAGTATTGCTCCTTGACACACGAGAGAGGGATATGCATTTCAACACAGTTCGCCCGACACGCTTTCCACTCTGCGGCTAATGGTCCTCCCATGGGGGCACTTTGCAAGCGGCAAGCATTCGTGCTTTGCATGCGACATAACTCTTGAAGGTTTGCATTGGTTCATTTGCTGCAGGGCCCCGTTTATTCGTATCTATCGGCCGAAATGTGTCCGGTTCAAGCACGCCGGAAAAAATTGATGAGCAAGCTGCAAGAAATAAGAGCCATCGGAGGGTGGCTCTCGTCTCTGCAAATGAGTAAAGGCAAGGCGCGCTCACACAACACAACGTTCCCACTCACAAATATGACACAGATAAATCTGTGATCCTTTTTGCTTAGTCATTAACTCTTCAGCGGAAGAGCCATTTGAAATTCTATGTCTGCATGCACGAGTCTTGAGTCAGGCAACATCTGGCTGGCTGCCTTTTGCCGTTCTGCTAATGCACATTACTGGTAGACCACACTATCCGCCATTCACGGATGCTGTGAAGCCGTCAGACTGGAAATACCAAACCAGACTATTTGATGCAGTGTAAGCCAGCTGCGTCCCAGGACCAGACCGTTAAAATATCTTTCATCAGGAAATCGCCGCAAAGCATTCACGACCTCACCTCATCCCTAGTCCTGCCATACCACGGCTAGGCACACTGAAAACACATTCGTCTGGCAGCCACTGCTCACTGAGCTGTAATCTCTCTGCAGTGACTATGTATATAGAGGGAATAGGATCCCCTTGTTTGGGCGTATGTGCAGGAGGGGGGCGGTAGTGAAACTACACAAGGCTCCAGCACACGGAAATGCTTCACACAGGTGTGGCCAACAACACTGATTTGAAAAGCCGCCGCCGTAACCACCCCACACAACACACTCCGGCATTCATTCGCGAGCTCTTCACACAATAAATTGTGCCAACATGCATGCAAATTCTTCGTAAGAGTTCCAACTTGGCGGTCATGTGTTGAGCGACATGAATGCTTAGCAGATATGCCACGTCCCCGGATACTGAAGGTGCGAGCAGGTGGTTGCTTCGCCAAAAACCAATGCAAGAAGCCACAGCCTCTGTGGCTCCTTGAATTGGCTTTTTGTTGTTCACCTTGGTGGCTTTTTATCTGGATGATTTTTACTGGATACTCGTTAAGCAACCATGTCCGGGGCAGACTGGGAGCGGAGATGCATATCGCTCAATCAAATCACGCCTCCCGAAGTCTCGAAGTGTGTGGCAGTTGCGAGCTAGCATTTTCTTAGAGAATGGGGCACTTCGCAAAATCCCAGAGTAGCGTCAACTTGTAGAACGTCAATCGTGGCTTCTCTTGTACATATTTTCCTCTGGCCGGCTACCTTTGTTGCACTTCCAACTACCGTGTTCGATGACCTTAAACAGCTCTAGAGCAAAACACCTTGATAAAGGAAAATCCGATGTCTGAAAGCACCCAAAAAACATTAGCCTGTCCACCACGCCCTATACAGCAGCGGCACAGAGTGTGTGGTTGCGACAGAGTCACTCTCAGTGTCGACACATATGCAGCAGCTGTCTACGGGGAGACTAATTACTGGGGTCTCCTTTCAAGGTACTTTTTCCCATCGGCACTTGGCGGAGCGAAGGACCAAAAGTAGATGTGTGATCATGTGCCGTCGGAATCTTGATAGCTTAGGTGTTTTAAAAATGTTATCTTGCCCACGGCAACGTCCTCCTTCAGCGCGTAGCAATAGGTATACCTCTAGGGGTTCTATGAGCCACACACCGACAAAAGCTTAAAATGCTCTTTTACAACCCAAGACCTCAAAGTACTGCGAATTGAGCGCTTTCTGCTTGCTTCCACGGTACTTGAAGTTTCAGGTCGAGGGCCGTTGCAAGCTTCGCATGTCCAGTCGTTCTTCCTCGTTCCGTGAATAGCCTATATGGCTCTCAAGCAGACTGCGTGCAAATAATTAAATACGGCTAAAAAATCCGGAAGCAGCGTCTACTTGTGCTGAACTGAATGGTTACAGAGTCAGTACATATCGTCGTAGCCGAGTCCGCATTAACCGCGACATTACTACAGACTACCAAATGAAACACATGAAAAAATACAGTAGCCATGAAGCCCCAACATAAATATTTTTGAATTACTGTTTTCAGTTTTGCCGCTGCATTCTGCATACTGGAATGCCCAGCCCCAATCCTTGTGTTGGAGCCTCGCTAGGAGTAGACGGAAATACCGCTATGAAACTGCGAAAACTCCACCTAAACGTATTCGTAATGCCCTTTTGATACTTTGCTAAGCATTTTCTCATCAATTTTAGGCTCACTGTAGCTGGAGCCCTTACAGACTAAGCATCTCGCATCCACAATTCGCCTCGATCTCCTACAGTGGGGAGGACCTGATCAAAGCTCTCCAAAATATTCTCATTGCTCATGTCTTTCTGATTTAATGCGTGTATGTACACAGCTGTTGTGTGTGTCCGCGAAACAACGTGAAAGGTTTAGCTTCTCCACCCGCCACACCTGACGATGCCTTCAGCGATTGTCGGCGCCACCACGAGCGTCACTTATCGTTGATTCGGAAGATATACCGTTCTTTAAGGGTGGTGGTATTTAGTAAAATTGCCACGTTTTGCATCCCAACAGCAAGACGCACAAGAAGAGGCCTGGTGAAGTCGGGTCATGAGCCACGCCAGAAGGACATGACGTTCTCTGTGTAGTGGAGGGGTCGCGAAAGTTCTCAATTACAGCTCTTGGAGTCTGGATATCGTGCTTCGTATTTGCCTGGGCAGGTGAAAAACAGTCGAGACCTAAAATGTATGGCGAGGGCGTCGGTACACCATGTCCAAAGGCAAGTCAAGCGCGGCATCAGCTCTCTAATCATCGTTTGCACACGCAAAATCGCAGTTCAGTTTGTCACTCGCATTGCTCCATTTTCTGAGTTTGCTGCAATATGAGTTGATACAGGCAACAGTGGGCGCGTCCAAGTATCGCGCTCACATGGCCTTAGTAGGAGCCTTTCTTATCCACCTGACTCTTGGTAAGGAAATACATTCATGAATTACGGATTCCAGTGTTCCTACGAAGTGTCAATGGGGGATACGCGTCGTGTGTGCAACTGTCAGTCAAGAAAGACAAATGGGGGGATTCGGTGTTTATTCATATCACTTTCGCATCATTTCAGGAAGTCTACACGCCTTCGGCAATATAGCGCCTTCAATTATTGCGTATATGCGACTACTACAGCCATCTACTACCATCCGCTACCACGTACGTCTTGGTTCAGTTTGGTTCAGAGTAGAAGGTCGTCATTAGCTTGAGCTCTACCTACGGGTTTTTGTCTTACTGGCTCTACCATGCGTGTGTTGCCCACATGTCTTTTACAGGATGGGCTTGTGTTGTATGTCTCCGCGGTGCTGGTCCAGGGCATAGCAGGGTTCTTTGGCGGAAGGCTTCACAGAGCCCTAGGACCCACTAAGTGAGCCGGGAGAAACAGAGCACTGCGGAGCTTTGTTGCTGCGCAGCTGCTGTTCCGCGTAGCCTTCGTTTGTCCCCAAAGTAGATGCATGCGTGTACCCGTTGGGAGACAGTCTGTATACTGCACGGTTTGTTGAACGCTGCCTTTCCCTGACTGCTTCCGAGCATCAATGGTTGACGGTGTCTTCTTGGAGTGCTCGTCTCTTCGTGCAGCATTATTGCGGAGGCACCATATTTGCACAAGTATTGTGTATATTTTTCAGCTCTTTTTGGTCTACATCTTGTGAATATGTCCATAGTTGAGTGCAACAGTTGCTCCACAAGTGAAGCTGTGGTCTTGCGTGTCATTTTTTGTTTAAGCGTTAGCATGTTAGTCTTGCGCTGCTTTGATTTCTGCTACCGCAGGGCGACCCTTCTTGGTGGATCTGTCATGAGTATTGGTCTTGTCATGTCCGCGTTGACTCTCCATAGTTGCTTCCTTTTCTGGTGAGACAGGGCGCATTATTTTCGGTTCTCCGGTCCGATTGTTTGCCAATTCGCGTGAGGAGAACTCAAAGTGCTGAAAAAACTGGAGCTTAATATATGTTGCATGCTCCTGTTCCTTGCAGCCTCTCGTTTGGCGTCGTCACTGCCATTGGGAGCGGCCTCTGCTACCCTGTGCCGCTCACTTGCGCTCTGGAGTGGCAACCAGATCGAAAAGGCACAGTGCGCAAATAGGATATATGTTCATAGTGGAGCTTTTACCGAGCCCTAAGAATTTCGTATGCTGATGAGCTTTTAGCTTGGCGCGCCGGTGTACTAGCCAAGTGCATATGCACTAGTCTGCCATATGGCTTGTGCGTTGTAGGTGAGCTGCGTGATATTCCTTGGGCGCAGCTTGTCCGTCTGTCTGCTGTGCCCAATACATTCTTTGCTACTTTTTCGCAATACGCAACACTCGTTGCTCTCCTTTGTCTCACCTGGAGGAGCGGAAGATGGCTTGGCAGGTAAGAGATAAGCTAAGCAGGTCGATATTGTTGCAAAGGCACTGCAGTGTAGTGGCATTTTTTGTTATGCATACAAAACTTGTGCTTCGATCGCGCTACATTGTGTGCTGCTGCTGCAGTGCCTGAAGTCTATGTGTCCGACACAGCTGTGCTGCAACGCCTGCCAGCACTGTTCCTCCTGATGGCAGGTGCATGCTTGGCACTTCAGGTGCGTCTGTAGTCTATCGACAGAAACACTGCACTTGATTTGTTCTGCATGGAGACGTTTTTGACGTTTGGTTATTGGCGTTTTCTCTAATGCAGGCCTTGGGCGCTGCGCTCTTATCTGACCCACCGCCGCTGCCAATGGACTCTCATGAACGGCGGAAGCTGATTGAAGAGATCCGTTGTGGGTCTTTATTGAAAGTGTGCTGCTTTCAAAAGTGGCGGTTGCAACTCAGAGATAACGAGCCTTCTCCGGCTTTATATTTCTCGTGCTCTTGTGTCGCTTCCTTGTTCGCAGCGCCCTCACCTGCCACGGCGGCTTCGCTGCTATCCTCCTTCGTGCTGACACCCCAGGACCTTTGCAGCTCTTCGTCATTCTGGTTGTTGTTCATGATGCTGTTCTTTTCTTGGCAGTCTGTACTTGTAGCTGCGTACATGTGGAAGATTGTGCCATTTGTCTTCATCCACCATGCTTCTGTTAGCTCCTATGTCGATACGCCGGATCTTAACGTCGCCCCAACGCTGACAGACGGTCTCCAAAGCTGGCAGTCGGTAACAGACTTGCACCTAAGCACAATTGGCGCAGTTGCAGGCGCTTTGTGCGTAGCGGGGCGTCTAGTTTGGGGCTATGTCGGCAACAAAGCTGGTAATAAGCGCGCTCTCGTAAGCTTCACCTGCACTTCCATTTTGATGGAGCAGTTGGGAGTACAGCGCAGCTGCTGCATTCCGTCTCTTTATTCTTTTTGGCAAGCATGGTCATGCTTCGACGTTAGCGTTTGTGATTACTGCAGATCATTATGAATCTTTGCATGGCGGCGCTCTTGGTAACGTTCATGAGCCGCAGTATGGCTTCCCCTCGAGATTTCGCGCTGTGGTGAGTTTTAGGTGCCATCTGGAGGGCGAAACACTGCCGAGTGCAAGATCTTTCGCGGTAACTCGTCCGTGGGCACGATATGTGCGTGTGTAATTTTGCCGCAGGCTTGCCTTACTTAACGCATGCCACGGCGGACTGTTTTCAGTGCTGCCATCCCTCACCTCGGACTTGTTTGGCCACAAGAACTTTGGGCCTGTCTTTTCGCTGCTCTTTGCGGCAAGGCTTTGCGCCGCCGCGTGCATATGTGTTCTCACCAAGGCATGACACAGTCACTTCGTGTCTCATCCGGGCCAAATTGCACAAATTTTATAGTTTTGGCTGCACTAGTGCATACGTAGAAGTCTAAAGCATACTTCAGTCAGTGTTTGTGCGCTGGTATACACCTCACGGTTCGATGCTTTGCTTGAAAGCGCAGCTACTCCCTGTTCTGCCTACTTTTCTAAATTCCAGTGGCGCCGCATTGCTGCTCTTGTTGCAGGTCGTGCTAGAGCTTGCAGACGGAGTGACGCTGTGCATGACTTTGGCTGGGTGCCATGTCCTATGGTGAGCTTGGAGCTCTGTCGGTCATTCCTTCACTAAAAATAGATAGAAGGCAGCCAGCCTTCTCAGCTCTAGCAGGGGCAGCATTTAGATTTGCTGGGATTTTTGCGCCCTGATTATGCCAAGTTACGAACAGTAGAAACACATAATCTTGTTGCTGTCCGCAGTGCGGGTTTGGCCCTGGCCTTCCATCCAACTGAAGCTCTGCCCAATCCGTATAAGCTGGTGATGACCTAACGCTTGTCACCTCTCCTCGGCAAAAGTTTTGCGAGTCGCATTAAGACGCGGCTTACAGTCCTTTTTATTAACTCTTGGACAGATCAGAAACATGAAAACTGCTAGATGGAGCGCCCAGAAACGCGAATACTTCTACATAGCCGTTCAGTGAGAGTTCGAGAGGAGCCTCATCACTTGAGGGTGGCTTCACTTCAAAAGAACGGAATCAAACAAAAAAGTGCACTTCCTATTTGCAGCACAGCACGTTTCGGCTATTGAAAGTCTTGCCAAGAAGTTTTACTTCTGCTTCGGTGAAGCAATGCGCCTTAGCTGGTCAGCTGTGTAGGGCGTAGGGTGCATCCATTGTATAGTGTGGGCTGTCTCTGCCCAAACTGGAGTTGTCACTGATCTTGATCTTGTAGGGGGTATTGAAATCTGCTTCCCGTAGACGTGGACAAACGACGTGCTGATGCTTGTCCGTTGTACGAGGCGAAGTTGAGCTACGGCTATCTGCTTTTTCGCGTACAGCGGACCGCCAAGCGAGGACTCTGTTTTAATTGTTTAACAAATGTGTGGTTGGATGTGACTCTCCCAAATTCCGTATAGTTTAAGGATAATGGGGCCGGTTTAGTGCATAGTGCAGAAGAACTGAATGTTCGTTGTGGTGCGTGAGAACTTCGATGAAGTAGTTCAATTGTAGTTTCGTGTACATGTTCGTGAGCCAGTTATGCTCATTAAAGGGAGTTCTCAGGAAAGGAGGGGAAGGCACTAAGTGCATGTGTGCATCCGTGAGCACGTTTGCTGGGATACTAGCACGCATCTAACTTACGGGTGGTAGCGAGGAGCTGCTGTTCCTGATGCCTTAATGGCTCCAAGTTTTGGTGGTTTGCTTATTCGAAGTGTCCAGTGCCCTGTTTTGCTTTTGGTGCACATTGCCCCTGCTCGAGCGGTGCTCCGCAAGAACTTCAATAGGTGGAAGCAGTCGTTCACGAGAATGACCATTCCTTATTGATAGGAACAGCTGTTTGATGCTACCTACGACTTGAGAAAACGATAGTCCGTTGTAAGCAGCTACATGGTTACCGTGTTCCTTTGCTGAGGGTCACCTACACCGCCGGCACTGACTGCGCAGAAATGTGCCATTTTATTCCCCATGTTATCTGAAATTCTTAGTGTATTTTGGCAATTTTAACTGTGAAAAAGGCTTCTTGTAGCAGTAGCTTTGCTTTCATGAAGGGCGAGCATACTGCGCAGGTGTTCTGGCTGTCAAGCCTCTGGGACCATCGGCGTACGCCGAAGGGACCGACATGTAAAAAACGTGGGATTATCCAGCCCATTTGGCACGTAATAAGCGGCATTTACATTTCAATGTGGACGTCCACCTGTTAGGAGCAAAAAAGTGATGCGACATTATTCAGTTTCCGCCGTCTGCTCGAAACTTCGAGACCAAACCGCTGCCGAAAGAGCTCAGTGCACCAAGTTAACTCATATTTTGTGAACCCTTACTTCATGAAAGAAAACTGAAAAAGACACTCACTATGTTATTAGCATTTTTATTATTTTCATTTGGGGTGAATGGCTAGAACAGCCTTTACCACGCGATGTGCCGTCGTGTCTCCAGCAGGCAACTGGATGGCTGTTCGCGCTCCATCGGCACCAGCCTAATGACATGAGCCAGCCGCCTGGATTCACAACACGAGCACATATATTAAGGGCTTCATTTCAACCGGTGAACATTAATGTTTTGCTCTTAAATATCGACTAAATCACCATGAATGTGTGCTTTGCTCGCACGGTCGTCCTTGCGGCCACCGTCGCCGGTGTTACGGTCGAGTGTCACCGGGCCCCTTCAAGTTCGGAGAACCCCTTGAATGGCTACACTTCCCAAGTACTTGGCCATGCCTACGAAGGCTTGAGCTTTGCTCAGCAAAAAGGAAACGACACGCCTCTACTGCATCACAGCCGACGGTCACGCCACAATGATTGGAAAAACCGTCCATACTCCCTGCAAGAGCAGGCCGGCAACTACAACTCTCCACTACATGGGCTTGCAAACATTGAAGAAAACTCGTATGACATCAACGACTACGAGCTCTGGCGTTCTACAAGGACTCCAGATATGAAACTCGGGGAGAGAGCCAACGCTTCATTTGCTCTTCTCAGTGCTTCCCCACCTGGATCACGTAAGAAAGGAGGCTCTCGCTCAAATTCTCGCAAAAGCGGAGAATCGGGAAAGGGCACAAGCAGTCCCATTTCAATTTTTAAGGCCATTGGACGACCTTTCGCGTCCTTGGGCGCAGCCGCGCTGAGAGCTACTGGGGAAATCAGGAAGCTCTTATTCAGGCCCAAAATGTCTTGCAAGTTGGAACTGAAAGACAATCTGATTGGAGGCCACGGTTCGCCTATAGTGGCGAAGGCCATTTCCCGGCTGCCGCTTCCAAAGACGGACAGGAGACTGTTGGCAGTAGAGGAAGGGCTCAATGCGCATTTTCCTAGAGATCAAGACATAACCTTTGACTGTGTGGGCTACAACCAGAGCATAGTTCTTAGGCGTGGTGCCCTGCTCGGAGCTGGCAACTTTGGGTACGTGTTCTCCCTTACCAGCAGGCATGGTGCTCAGTACGCCGGCAAAATCTATGCCATTCAGCAAAGCGAAAAACACACAATGGACATCGCGAAAGACCAGCTTAAAATATTGAATTATCTACCCCCAAACATGGATGCTGCTACAGCCCTCCACACTCTGCATCTTTCGCTTCCTCTTTGTGTCATATCAAAGCGTAATGCTCCAGCTGTGCTAGACTTTCCCAACAAAAAGCAGATCTTGAATGCGATTGTCCTGTATCCACGACTCCGCATGGACTTGGTCTATCTCTCTGCTTCGCTGTTCAACAATCGCCCCGCAGACCGCGAAGTGCTGATGATTCTAACGCAGCAGGTTGTTACAGCTGTCAACGACTTGCACAGCCTCCAACTGGTGCATTTCGATATCAAGCCCCAAAATTTTCTTCTCACCGAGAACGGCAGTGTCATGGCGGCCGATCTTGATGGTGCAAAGCGTGTGGGATCGCCGGTGATGCCCGTATTGTATACCATCGCCTTCGCAGCCCCGGAGTTGGCTGAGATTATTGCCAATATCAATGAAGAGGCACCGGCTGAATATACCATGGACTCGTGGCCACTAGGAATGACAATCTACTCCCTTTGGTGCCTTAATCTGCCACTTTCCAAGGAGTTCCGCTCACTGCCTCCCAGTGACAGGCTCATGTCACTGTATAAATCCCCCCAAGATGCTCTGCTATTCGACCAAGAATGCACGGATAAGATGCCACCAATGGTGCTCGACTTAATAACCAAGTTCATGAAAATCAACCCTAAGGAGCGCCTAACGCCGGCTCAAGCAGTTGCATCACACCCAGTAATGCAGCAAAAATCTGAAGGAGAAGCATTAAAACCACTCATCAACTCAAGGTTTCCTGCAAAAGCTTCGGCACCGTCAACTGTTTCAACTGATACAGGAGGGCCCAGTCTTACTTCCAGTTACGTGTTTGTGACACCGAAGATGGTGGAAGCTGGCCAAAGCTTCGAGCAACAGGACCCAAACACTGCCAAGACAGAAAACACTGGATTCGGACTTGTCGGAAGCTACTTAAGAAATCTGAGGCCACTAAATGACGAGAAGTACTTCGCCGCATCTGCGCACAGTACAGACGCCCTATGGGGTGAGCGCCGAGAGGTACCAGAGGTACACTCTTCTGAAACTAACCCAGTTTAGCTTGTCCCCACGCTCTCAAAACGCTACACGCAGCGTGGGTACTCCTGCAGGCTCGCCTGTCGGGTCATCTGTATTTATGTGTCGCAGCGCTTGCCTCCTTTAATTGTTTTATAAATCTGAAAACTAATTGTACTGCTCAGTCTTAAGCGAGTTTTAGGTTTGCGGCACTAGCTCGGAAGGGCCCCAATCTAATTGAATCTTCAGCTTCTTATAAGAAAGCATGTAAACTACGTGCTTTGAATCCTGTTTTTTCAATATAGAAATACTGGAGCGCAGTGAAGTTTGGGCGGACTGAAGTAGCTACGTTGCAGTTTTGTCGGATAGATCGCTGCTATTCTCCAGACAATTGCTTTCCTATTTGGCAAACTAATTTTCTACTACTTCTTGTCTCCTCCGAAGATTCCCCAGTATTTTTAGCAGATTGTGTACTGACAGAGCTGCTTCAGGTCTGCTCTTTCATAGATTCACTGTCAAAAGAAGACGCTATCACACTGAAAGTCCATACTTCCATTCCTTGCACAGATATCCCGCAGACGAATTTTGTTATCGCTGTTCATGTGCCTGTCAGAAACCAGTTAGCCATGTGGCATGAAAATAAAGAAAGTGAGCTATACCTGCCCACTAAAACGTGTACTTCACCCTGTTTTGGGCTTCTGTGCACGTATCACCAAGATATCTCGTGACACGCAGATTGCAGTGAACATTTATGTCGGTTCAGGTGCACCGCCATCTCTGCTTAGGCTGGGGCTTTAGTCACGGCAGAAAGAACAACAAATAACAGCAATTTCTAGACTCACGCATTCAGCTGTTCTGTTTTGAGTTCCTCGGTTTGTTGGCTCCCTCGGTCACTTATGGGAAGGCAGGAGTGGAACAGCACAAGCACAACACAAAATTGTCCCAGCGAATGCATTTTCAGACGAGCAAAAGTCGATTTGATCAATAAATTACTCTGCAATCGCAGACATGAAGCATCGGCTCGCCAGGGCTCGGCAGCATGCGGAGGCAGTGGAAGCTCCAGAGTTGACGGAGGCTTCACGCTGCTCGAAAGGGGGAATGTTGTGACAATAGATAGCTTCCTACTTTAAAACTAAGCTGTGGTGCACTGTTCTTGTTTGGGTTGAGGTATCATCAAGTTCAGGCTCTGTTTTAAGCGCGTCTTCAGCCTCTATTTTGTAGGGCGAGCCCGAGCTTCTCATCCCCACGGGCACCGGGACGTGCCAGCCACCAGAGTTCCCTTGAATGACAACTTTTTTGACGTAATTTCCGTCGTCGGCTTCATTGTGCATTCAGTTTCCAAACTGCAGCTGCCAGGTCAGGCGCATCGACTTGCCACCGCCACCGCGCAGTGCAGCGACAATTAGACGCAGCAAGTCAGTGGAAGCCGGGCCTGACCGACTTTTGAGTATCGATTTTATAGAAGGGAGGGGCTCTGCCAGGAAGCGTGGGGAAGACATGATGGGGATACCCCCTAGGGGGCTCCGGCTGCAGCGTCGTTGTGCTGGTTTTCCTGGGCGTGAGTGATAAGCAGCTGGGGCAAGCATCACCTACAGGTCCTCAAGGTACTACACTCGTTTAGTTCGATTGACGGAGTGCACGTACGGCAGGTAAAGTTTTGAAGCAGCTGGAAGGATTATCGCTCAGTAGCAACGCCGAATCACAAATTGTCTGGGAATACTCAAACTTCTTGTCTCCGTGTCCCTGCTCGTTGTTGAGTTCCGGCTGCTGCGACAATGACGGGTTCTGGGGAGGTCGCTTTGTCGGACGGCAGAGGTCACCGACCCAGCGGGTCTCATTCCAAAGACAAGCACTCTAGTAGCAACAGCAGTAGTAGCAGCAGCAGCTCCAAGAAACACCACAAGCCCAGCAGCCACACAACCAGCAGTACGGTTAGCAGGTCCACAAAGAGCAGCAGCAAGGGAGGACATGCCGAGCGCGACAGTATCTCTGGAAGGCCCAAAAGCGGCCACAGTAGCCAGGGGCAAAGCAGCGGCAGCAGCAGTAGCAGCAGCAGTCACGGCCACAGCTCCAGCCACAAGAGGAGCAAGGATGATCAGAAACACACGAGCAGCAAGCACAAAACTGAGACAGATGCGACTCACCACGAGAGTAAAAGTCACTCTAAAGACACAAAGAGCCACAAGCGCTCCCACTCACACAAGGCGGAGGAGGAGCCAAAGCGGCACCGCAGTCGGAGCCGCAGCGCCGACAAGAAACGCAGAAAGGACAGGAGCCCCTCTTATCAGCCCCCGGCTGTGGTGAACACCACTGATCCCACCAAGAATAGCCTCGGGGATCCGTTTCCCCCCGACCTTGAAGGCCCCTGCTATGTGAAGCTGCTGCCTCAGCAGCGCGACGTATCGATCTTGTTAGGGGTGGATAACCGGGGTCTCTCGAATATGGCGAAGAGCCACGCCTGCAAGAGCCGCCTCTCAACGAAGGATGTGTTCTTCCCTGAGACCAATAGGCGCATGCTGTTGCTGCAAGGACCTCTGGAGGCACTCCACAAGATGTTGAGACAGGCTCTGCAGACGATATCAGAGCCAGGGAAACACCGGGACAGCCCGCGGAGCTGCACGGTTACGTTTATAGCCCCCCATGAAGTCTGCCTGGACACACCCGAAGGCGCAGATCAACCCCTGCGCAAGCTGCGCAAAGTAGGCAAGGCCAAACTGAGCATCAGCGACAGGAGAGACATGAAGAAACAAGGGGGGCGCGAGCGCCTGCTGACCTTGGAAGGTGGTTTGCCGGAGGTGCAGGATGCGGCGTGCACAGTAGCGACGCTGCTGCAAAAGCAGGAGAACCTGAGGGACTACTGTAACCTCAAGTATGACAGCTGTATGCCCAAGGCCGATCCTGTGGAGGAGGAGCCGGTGGAGGATCCATTGGGGGAGGATCTTGATGAATCTACTATGCAGGCCCTCGCCAGTATCTTGATCCCGCCCGAGAAGGAGCCAGTGAAGGCGGGGGTGGCTAGCGTGGCGCCCAACGTGCCTAATTTGTCGGACTCGGCAAAGGCGGCACTGATCAGTCAAGCTCAGGATGAGCTGGCCCGCATCAGCAACTTGCAGTACATGCGCGACACCCGCACAGTTTTGATGCAGGGCCCGGCGTACCACAAGGTGCTGGTGAGCGATCTGATAGCTGCGCAGCTCCTTGGCTCCAACGGGAACATCATCAATCAATTCGAAGCGGAGTACGCTGTGCAGGTCAAGGTCGCCCCCCCAGAGCCCCCTCCCTGCACAGAGCGCATAGTGATTATTAGCGGGCAGCCACAGGACGCCGACCGCGCGCTGCTGGCGGTTCTCGAGAAGGTGTATGCTGCTTGTCTTATGGTTGGCCATGCCAACTTCATGGTGTGGCGAATGTGCGCCATGAGCACCTGCTGCGCTCTCATCTGCGGGCCGGGTGGCCAACGCATTCGCCAGCTGGCAAGCTTTACAGGAACACGAATTCAGATATCAAACAGAGACCAGCAGACGCCGTCCCATCACGCCGCCCAGTTGGTGCCTTCTAACCCACACGAACGCATTATATCTATCCTGGGGCCCCTTGAGCAAGTCACAATTGCCGTAAAAGCTATGCTGCCATACATTCACGCGGACCCGAACCAATCGTTGTCTGTACACCAGACGTACGGCCACGGATACAAGCTCAAGATGCCGGCATGGGCAGAGACCGGTGTTTTGCAGGAGGGTATGAATATGGAGGCTCTGAAGGAGGATCCCTTAGAAGACGAACGGCCGGTGTCGCTGCCGGGTCCATTCCACGTGAAGCTGCTGATCGACCCCGCACTTGCAAACTCCTTGATAGGCAAAGAGAGCGCGACGATTACCAGAGTCGCGGAGGAATGTGGTTGCAGCATGCATGTGTTGTCCTCAAAAAACAAGTTCCCCGAGTCGACAGACCGCATTCTGCTTATGTCCGGGTCCACTGAGTCCATAAGCACGGGAATTATTGCCTTACTGGAGCGCTGCAAGGAGGTTCACCCCAACCTTCCATACGACCAAATGTACGCCAAACTTGTTGTGCCAACAAGCGTCTGCCCGACAGTTATAGGGCCAGGAGGCACTCGCGTAAGAGAGATACGCGAAGCCACGCTCACCCGCATCACTGTCGACAGGAATTCGAGCCCTTGCCCTGAACGTATCATTGCCGTACATGGGATGGCCCAGGGAGTGCACCAAGCGGTGGTTGCAATTAGCACCATCGCGCAGACCGATCCCAGCCTGGTGCTCATGCTGGAGTTGCAGTATGACTATTTAGAGCAGCAACAGGAGACGCAGCAGCAAAATGCGCAGCTAGATTCGAATATAGTCGGCGCCGTCTTGGAGGGGGTGCTGTCAGTAACGAATAAAGTGGGAGGAGGAGCGACGGAGGTGGCCGTGAGGCGCCTTGAAGGGATGAAGCAAGTACGGCATATCTCCCCCAAATGTTTCGTTGCCACGTTACATAGCATTTTGCTTTCTGTCTCCTTGGGTGTGCCTAGTTCATTTTTTAATGCTTATTCACGTAGTGTCCGCAGTGGCTGCTGGGGTGCAGTGTGGTACATGTCTGTAGCAAGTACGACTCTATATGGGACGTGGAAGGACGAGTTCTGCGCACTGCGGTTTGCTGCATTTTCTGTTCTCTGTTCCTTTCGTTCTCTCTCTTCAGGCAACAGCTGCTCAGGCCCCTCTGGGTCCTATGGGGCAGCACAAACACGGATTTGCTCCCAACTACGATGCGCCAGTGTCGTTTGTAACGGCCTCCAACAACAACCCTGTGACAGCAGAGGCATCTAAGAGCTTCGCATTGGCACAGAGGGCAGCCCAGGCGCTCGGGGGGGACCCAAGGGTCCGCGTGCCCTCGCCACCGCGTCAGGCTGAGGAGTGGGAGCAGCAGCAGCGGGAGATTGAAAATTATGAGCAACAGCGTCTCGCGGGACACGTTGAGGTGTACAGCAGCAGCGGAGGAGTACCGCCACCTCCGGTTGGTGCCCCACCAGCGGGCCAACCGGTGCCTACTGCTGGGCCCGCTACTCCTGCTGCTACTGCAGCCTCTGCACAAAACGGTATGGACGAAGATGACGGGGATCCACTACTAGAGGGGCTTATGAACGAGGCATTTTAAGTGGCTTTGTGATTTGGAATACAGAGCTGTGCGGTTAGCAGCATGACTGTAAGAAGCCAACAGCAGCATTGACAGCAGCATTAGGGCTCCATACACGCGAGACTCCGGGCAGTTTGACGGTTTGTTTAAGACTTTGACGTCTTGCATTTTTCTTGGCTTTGTGAAAGGCAGAGCAAGGATCATGTGCAGGCTCTACAGAGGAGGAAAGTAGGAGCATTGCTTGCGGGAATGGCCTGCCTAGTTTAGCTTTCTGCGTGCTGTTTCACTGATAGCACATTCGTTGTGCAGCTTGGCATAGACCATACCAACCAGGGTTGCTTCTCTTTGTCGTGTTTTTGTCCCATTTCGTCGTTAGGTTTATTGATTTCCAGCTAAAGGAAGCGAAATGTTAGTATGGGATGGTTGAGAATCGAAAATAGAGCAAAGGTTTTGTGGATGTTTTCCGCAGCTTCAAGTATATAACTATATTTAACATGGTTATTTCCTGCTAGTGAGCACTGCTGGTCGCAAAATTACTATTTTGCAGGCGGGAACCGCAGTTATGTATTCTTGCCACCTAGGCAAAAAAGCAAGCTACACATGCTTCTTAATAGAAGAATGATTCAGAGGGAAGCGGTGCTTTAGGACCTAAATTGGCTGTATGCTACTCCGTGCTGCTTCATTGAGCGCAAGGTAGTGGGCCTTTCTCCTGGCTGGTTCCTGTAAATGTCTGCCATGGCTTTGGGAGGCAGTGCAGAGGGGCCGTGAGAATCTCTCTACCGCATTCAAAGTGTCACTAATCGAATTAAAAGGTACGTTGTAACTTTGAGGGTGTTGACATTTGCCACGCTGCTAGCCGGCGTCTCAAGACACCTGTTAACGTTCGGTCAGCTTTAATCCGTAATAGGTGGAGCCCTTAAAGGCAAGGGACAGAAGCGCGTTGGTGGCTATGTCACGCTTTGTGGCCGCCACGTTACTTCACAGAAACGCCATCTAACATAGTTCAGCTGTTAATAAAATTAGCTGTACAGCACCACCAATGTAATAAGCGTTTGCTTGTTGACGTAGCTTACGACCAGCGGACGCATGTCTAGTTAATGAGGTCCAGTCTGCTTATGTTGAGTCTGTATTGCGGCATCTTCTACCTCAGTAGCTCAGAGAGGAGCGGCAGTTCCATTTCCGCCGAAACGGAACTGCCCAGCCCTCCATGCTTGCAGGGAGTCTACAAGTCACCTGTATCAGGCCTGGCGCTCGCTGTTTCATATGGATCAGGCGTCTTATGTAGAGGGATGAATTACACTCTTTGGGTCCAACGGACCACACAGCATCTTCGAAAGGGCTATCCCCGCCCTGGAGTCACCATAGTTGTGTTAGGCTGCCAGAAAATCCATTGGATAGCGAGTAGAAGATGTCATGTGGGCAAAGTTATTACAATATTGACAAAATGTGTTAGTCCTAGACCGAAGAAGCTCGAGTACCTTCTTGCCTTCGTCACCATTGTTTAGGTCGTATCAGGCAAGAGGGAGTTTCCATCATTTTCAAGGTAATCACCAATGCTGTGAAAAAAATAAGTTCGAAAAAATATCAAACTTTCCCAAAGAAATTCGTCGTAATGCCTAATTTCGTATTTCTCAATGGTTCTTTATTCACAGGGGGCCCCTGGCACCACAGGAAGCCCCAGCATTAACGAATCGCACAGTGCAACCAGAGAGAGAAGACGCATTTAAACGTCTTTTATCATCCAATTAAGGTACCACGCGTTGTTGTTTGTCCCTCAGTACATGCTAGTGGAAATTAAATACTGATTTCGGCCCGCGAGGGCCCCCAAGCCCTCATCGTTTGCATTTCGTTCCATTGCAGCGTCTTGTTGCGAGATCTTCCTAGTATAGCGATAATAAAAATGGAGGGGTCTCAGTGGTCGCTTCCAGCTGGCCTAAAGGGTCAATGCCCGTACACCGTACTGGGGCTCTGTTTGCCTGAGCACGGGAACCCTGTCACTGTGCAAGAAGCAGCAGCAGACTTATCTTCTGTAGAGTCCCGCGAGGCTCTTTCTCTAAAAGCCATCGGCACAGCGTATCGCCGGGCTGCCCTTAGAGCGCATCCAGACAAGAACAAAGGGAGGGAGGCTGAGGCTGCTGCTGCCTTCTTAATTGTGAACTTGGCTTTCGCCTATCTCTCTAGCCGCGAGCAGCGAGAAGGATATCATCGGCACCTTCGGTCGTTGCTTGCTTTGCGGGATCAACGGGAGCAGCAGCAGCTGCGGTGGACAGAGAAGGACAGAGAGCGACAACGATTCAAGGCGGAGTTGGAGCGTAGGGAGGCGGAAGCCCGCAGGGGCCCCAAAGTCAACACTGAAGAGGAGAAGTTAAGAGAAATCAGAGAGCGTAATGAGGCTCTTCTAAGGCAGAGACGCGAAGCGGATAGTCAGGCTAGACGTGACCTTTTTAAAGACCATTCTGCACGACTATTGTTGCAGCGGCAGCAGCATCAGAGCAGCGCAGCGTATTCCCCGAATTCAGGGGAAACTGTACAGGCAGAGGAATTTACAGATGACATTTTAAAAAGATCTGTTTTGTTGTCATGGCCGCCAGAGCCAGCTTTGGCGTCAGATACGGCGCCCGGAGCGAATAACAGCGGCGGCACAGCAGCAGCTGCCGCAGTTGACGCATACTCCCCAACCCCTGCTTCCTTATGTGCCGAGCTCTACGAGCATGGCGCTGTCGATCTGTGCCTTTTTACAAAGGCCAAAGGCCTCGCCTGCGTCTCCTTCTCTTCCCGAGAACGAGCAATTGAGGCGGCGCTGCTCCTGCAGCGGCAGCGACAGTCCAAAGAAAAACGCGAACGGAAAGACCGACCTACTGTCAAGCTTGCGGATAAGTCCAAAGGCTTTGAAAAGCTATTTCTGAGAATCAGAAACGTTGCTGGCACCTCTGATCAGCAGCAGCAAAATGAGGCAAATGGAGGTGCGCCTACAGCATCGAAGCCCGCAGAGGATGCAAATGCAGATGAATTGGATGAAGAAGTGGTGCTCGGTATCGCAAGAGAGACTGAAGAAGCAGCAGGTGCCTTTGCTGCTGCTCTGGCAGCTGAGCAAGCTGCTGCTGCTGCTACTGCAGACATTCCGCTCAGCACTCCGGCTCCTGCTTCACTGACTAAAAGCAACTGTAGTGTGCCACTACGCAGCAGCAGCAGTAGCACTGATAGCACTCTCAATGATGCAGAAGCCAGGCATGCTGCTACTGCCTTTGGCCTGGACGGAACCTTGGGTTGTCGGCCCACTAGCGCCGCAGCTGCTCGCATTTTGGAGTACGTGAAGAGCTGCGGCGCAAGGGGTCTAGCAGCAGCTGAGCAGCAGCAAGCGGAAGCAGAAAAAGAGGAAGGTTGGGAGTGGTTGGGAGGCTCCAAGGTGGCAGCAAGCATGAGCATGCAACAGCTAGAGGCGGCAGCCTTCGGCGAATTGCAGAGGAAGAAAAAGCAGCAGGAACAGGCACAGACGAAGGGGGAAAGTTAAGGGCTATTTCAGTTTTTTCATCTTTTTGGAGCGGTAGATAAGCAATGCATTCATGTATTTGTCTTGATGCTTTGTCTTCAGCCAATAAGTTTTGTTGCGGTGCGGAACAATACAGCTTTTTGCCTCGTCCTCTACTGGGCAGTTGATGTCACGTGGGAATTATTAGCTGCCTTCCCTAATAAGATGTACAGACAGCTTGGGTTGTACACACAACGGGATGCGCAGAGGCACCAGGAGGTGCACAAACTGCTGGAGGTCTCCAAGCAGTCTGAGGTGCACAAACACCAGAAATACAGGCAGTGTGGGATGCACAAGCAATAGGAACTGTACAGGCAGCTTGACATTGAATAGAGGATTTGAGATGCACAGATGGCATACTGTCAAACGCAGTTTTGTGAACAAAGTTTTGCAGTGGTGCAAGCAACGCGTAGTTTTTTGTTTTGGACAGACAGGGTGGTGAGTTTGGGTTCTTGCAGGGTGTCACAAACTCCAGTTTTGCTGTCTACTTTGCCTAGTTTGAAAGTGAGGCGGTGGACAAGACAACCTTTTAACAGACCAATAGAACTAACTGAAGTCGCCCAGTCAGAGATTTTGCTTTTTACAGATTTGAGCAGAAGAGCTCACAGGAACGCCCGTGTGGGTGCGGCATCAATGCGCGTTTGTGCATAGACATGCAATCGGCTGTGTGAGCGAGGAATGCACACAGTGGAGGTTAAATAATGACACAGATGAAAATCGTGTGTGCCTTTACCGAACCTGGGAAATAACTTTCCAAGAGTGGAGGCAAGGCAGTGCCCGCAGGACGTGGTGAAGGAGCACGTGGATTCGGTCGCCTGTAGTGGTCCAGCCGCGAAGTTGTATTCAGCTCTATCGGATATTTCAGCCTCTATGGGATGGGGTGTGGACTCAAATTAGATTCTGTTGCCACGGGCAACTAGGCTTTTCCTCGGCAGCCACTCCGACATCAGTCTAGTGTTTTAGGACTCAGTAGTAGTGCTGCAAAAGTGCTATAAACGCGCTTTCAATAGTCAGAATCAAATAGAAGTGCAGCGGCTCTGTTTCTGAACCCTTATTTTGGGTCACACAGCCCGTTGTAGCGGAGTGGGAAGTGACCACTGGAGAGCATCTCCATGCATTCCGAGGAGCTGCCTTCTCGCACCACCTATTGAGACAACGCACAAAAAAATTATTTCAGTTAGTTTGTTTAACTTGTTTGAGTGGAGAGTGCTTAAAGGGAGGAAAGTACAGAAACAGCCTAATTGCTCCGATTGGCACGAGCAGCAAACCACTAAGGGAAACTGCTTGAACACGAGCACGCTCCACTGATTAACAGGACAGTGCTACACAATATAGATACTTTGGTTTCATTGAGTAGGCTTTATGTGTGATTATGTGCAAAATTTTCTCCCCTAATCCTGTCATCCTTAGGCTCGTAGGAAGCCGCGGAGAGGCGGGCATTTGCATTTGCAGCTGCACAGCGGCACTGTTTGTTTGGTCTTACTTAATCTTT